ATAAAAAAATAAAGTGAAAATAAAAGAGAATAAAAAAAATAAAATTTGGTCAAGTAATTTTGCAATTCGATGATAGAACAGTGAGGTGTTGTTTGTGGAGTTGTTTGGTGGATGGTGATGTGCTATATTGTTCATTCCAGTTTGGTAGCGGAGAACTCGAGCAATTTATTTGCTCGAGAATTTTGTTGTTTATTTGAGCTTCTTTTCTGGCATATATATCCTTCCTTAAACCCGCATTACAACCCTTGAAGTCCTCTTGATTCGCATATTTTGAGCTTTGATTGTCTTCGAGTAATTTAAGCGATTGGCAAGCATATGTTGAAACTTGAATATTGACCAATTTTTTAGCGTACCTCTCATATATTCATGTAAGAAAATGAGTGAGGCATATATGAGATGATCTATGTTTTGAGAGTTTGTCATTTCAAGGTCAAGTTGATATTTGAGGCATATGGTCATACGTTCGTTGGAATTCGACTCAATTGAATTGGGTATTTTGAGACTCTTCTTATTTGAAACCATATCAATGCTCGTGTCTTGTTTTCTTTTCTTTTTGTTCGGGACGAACAAAGGTTTAAGTGTGGGGGAGTTGTTTGTCCCATTTTTGTTGCATTTTTCGTTGTCATTTTGTCTTTCTTTTTCCCCTATGTTAGGTCTTCTAGTTAGTTTTTAGTCCGTTTTGTCATTTATTGCGTGTTTTGCGTTATTTTGAGTGTCTTGGTGTGTTCCGTTTGCTTTCCGGTGTTTTTTGGTTTTGTTTTCGTTTTTGGTGTGCAGGTAAGAAGCTCCGAGAGGACAGGTTTTCAAGAAAATATTTGATGGGTTTGCATAGTTAGATAGAGGGGTTCATTACCGACGCGTAGAAAAAAACGGAACTCAATTCCGAGTTAAAACGAACCCGAACGAACAAAAATCGTAAAGCCGCGCGCAGCAGCCAAATTTTGTTCACCGCGGGCAGCGGAAGAATCCCGCGGCCGCGGGATTACTACTGCAGCTGAAAGTCGCGGCCGCGGAGCTTCCTGCGGCCGCGGAGATCGCGACCTGATTTTTAAAAGCTAGGTTTTGTTCATTTTTTTCGAGTACTTTACATTGGGACTCGTTCCCATACCTAATTTTTAACTTCAAACTCGATTTTCACCCTTTTTCTCTCTAGAAACTTTGATTATTCATCTTGGATTGCACCATTACTCTTGGATTAAGCTTGTAATTCAAATTCAACATTGGAATTGCGATTTATTGTAAGTTATTCTCTTTATGTTTAACTCATGGATAATGGTTGAATTGAAAGAGATGATGAATTGTGTTGAATTGATATTGCTTAGCTAATTCTGATTGCTAGGGATAGGGGATGATTGTTCATGTTTAACGTGTATCTCCCGGGCTTAAATTGTTCGTTCTTATGTGCGTTGTTTTTATGAGGAATTGATGAATTTGTATTCGATAGATTGATATAATCAAAAAGTGACATTTCGATCTTGCTATTGGTGACAGTTGGATGTTAATTTGTCGAGTTAGGGTTTGTCAATTCTATATGATTAGTTGATTAATCACCTTCTAATTGACTTAGCGGCTTTCAGAACTGAAAGGGGAGAAGTCGTAGAAATAGGCTCACATGAGGTAGATGATTTCGTAATTGAATAGTCTATAGGTTTTTGGTTGAAATACGTGCGAGTCGATGACCCGTCCCTTGTTACGAAAAGTTATTGGGATTGTGATAGTTGGCCTGTATTGTATGCTCGAGCTTGTACGTCTATGTTCCATCCCCTGTTACGAAGAGTTATTGGGAGTGAACCGCTAGATGTCTAAGCGAGAGTGTCAATCTCGAACCGAACAATTGATTGCCCGGTTTTGCAAGAACTTGAATTAATTATCCCCGACTCTCTAGCTTCTTTTTCATTGTTTCGTTCTTATTTCTTAGGTAGATTATTATTTTTATGATATTTCTTAGTTGGTAATTACTCTATCCCCTATTTGATTAGTATGTTTAGGATTTATTTTCTTTTTATGTGTGATTGATACCAAAACTGAATTCCAAACCGCCTTCCTCATGAGATCGACCCGAGGAACGAATTTTTTGATTCGGTACTCGGTAAAAATAATAATTTGTGCTACAAGAGACTGCAAGACGGCGATAAACTAAAAATCCATTTGAATTTTTAAATTCGTAGAACCCGGAATTGTAGGTATCTTATTTTGTAAGATTTTTGCTTTCTTTCTTTTTTTTTTTTGAAATCTCGTTTTTATTGCGTCCATATCGAACTAATTAAATGCATTATTTTTTAGAGCTGCACAGATTTTGGATAACCGATCGAAACTGACAAATTAGTTCAGTTATCGGTTTTAAGTTTATTAATATTTCGATTTTCGGTTCAGTTTGGTCACAATCTGTCGGTTCACCGAACCGAACCGAAAACTGATATTATATAAGTTAAATATGGCCCAGTATATATTACATTATTGATTGGTATTAACAGGGCAGGCCCAATTTATTACTCCACAAACAAGCAGGCCCAATTTATTACTCCAATTCCATCAAATATGATATCCATTATCCAATTCCGATCTATCACAAAAACAGAATCTCACAGACTCACTCCCGTCGCTCATCGTCTCATCCTCCACGAAAAACACCCTACCTAGCACTGCATCTTCTTCGCCCGTCCACCGCACCGCACAAAATCACCCGCTCCATCTCTGGTCGCTCGGTGTCGGCGCTTTGAAGTCTGAAATCTCAAATTGCCGGAATTTTGAAATCCCAAATCGCCTCGCTAGTGGGTCGTTCCTGGTCCCGCATACACGCCACCCGGTAGGCCGTCGCGACGCTTGTAATTTTCTTTTCTGGCTTTGAATCTCTCATTCTTCTTTGGGCCTGTGAGTCGTGATTCGTTGTAGGGGCTGCACCCACCCAATTTGAGCTCATGTTGTTTTTTAGGTTAATTTTTATGTCTATGATTTGAGCTGAATGGTTGTGGCTTTATGGGTTTCCAAATTATTGCGACATGCTAAACCAATTTTGATGTAATTTTTTTTTTTTCATTTCTCCATTTTATCGGATAACCGACAACCGAATCGAAAAACCGATAAAATTTCAGTTTAAAACCGAACCGAACCGTAGTGTTCAGTTCGGTTTTTGGTTTTAATATTGGACGAACCGAAAATTCGGTCGGTTTGGTTCGGTTTTGACCGACGTGTAGCCCTATGATTTTTAATTGGGGACCAAAACATATTATGCGGAGAGATAAGACATCTTGTACTAGTGAAAAACAGTTTGGGACCACCAGGTGACTCCATAGAGGAGCCAACCTTCTATATACAACAAGTAAACCTATCATATTCTATAATTACTTAAATAATACTAATATAATTTTATTAATATGGTAAGTTTATTTGTTGGATATAGAAAGTTGGTTTCATAACAAAACCGAAAAATATGTCCACTAAATCCTTATATGATAAAAGTTTGTGCAGGTGTTATATATATATAATATGATATGTTTACTTGTTGTATATAGAAGGTTGGTTTCATAACAAAACCGAAAAATATGTCCACTAAATCCTTATATGATAAAAGTTTGTGCAGGTGTTATATATGTAAATAACTATTATATAGACTATAGTATGTAATTTCCCCTAGTTTTTAAACCTTGATCCCGGGTGATAGGGATAATAGAACCGATTCGGCCTAACGCGACTCGATCGACCCTCGACCCTTACACCCTCGCCCTAACACTCTCGACCCTAACACCCTCGACCCCAACACCCTCGACCCTAACACCCTTGCCCCTAACACCCTCGCCCTAACACTCTCGACCCTAACACCCTCGCCCCTAACACCCTCTCCCTTACACCCTCGACCCTAACACCCTCGCCCCTAACACCCTTGACCCCAACACTCTCGACCCTAACATCCTCGCCCCTAACACCTTCGCCCTAACACTCACTACAAGAATAATCAGCTTTAGTGACGATAATTTTTGTCGCTATGTCGTCACAAAAAATACCGTCACAATAAGAGGTATTATTGTGCCAACATTCGAACATATAGCGACAATATTAGGACATTATTAGCCACGGTATTTTTTCTGACGACATAGCGACAAAAATTATCGTCATTAAAAATGATTATTCTTGTAGTGACTCTCGACCCTAACACCCTCTCCCTTACACCCTCGACCCTAACACCCTCGGTTGGAAGGGCTCGACCCACGAACGGAAGGCCTCGACCAAGAAGCTCGAACTTAACACCCATGGCCGAAAGGGCTCGACCCTCAACCGGGAGTCGACCGGTCTATAGGTGTCAAGTCACTCGGAGATTTACGGTCCCGATAACAAGACCGTAAATCTAGTCGCTATATAAAGGATAAGTTACGCAACCAAAAGGTAAGACTTCATTTAATATCCTACTACAACATTTTTTGCACATAATTCTCTCTAAATCTGAGATCCTAGCTTGGGCGTCGAAGGGCTTGCGCCGGAGAAATTCCGACACGCTTTCAGGTACCGGAGAACACTCAAGCTCGGACCGGACCGAATCAAGTGAACCAACGTCGTAACCGGGAAGAACCTTCCGCAAGACCGAAGCCACCGATCTCGGAAGGTTCGGTCCGGTCCGAGCTTGAGTGTTCTCCGGACCCGACTCCCTATCGAGTTAATACTTCGCTCTCACATTCTAATCAACCAATTGAGAGATGAGAAAAAAATATTATTATCATTTTCAAAATATCTAATTATTCAATTTTTTTGTTTTTATTTGTATTTTTTATTTTTGCCAAGTAGACAATATTATATTTGATCACATTGTGTATTGTAGATAATTTTTTAGATTTACAATTGTGAACTTAACAAATATCTTACGTGTACAATTCATCCAAATAATTGACATTTGTCAAATTTATGTGATAACAACATTTATAGCTATTAACACTTCTAAGAAAGTGATAAATAAGATTATAAAATCACAAGTATCAACACATTTCCGTTAAATGCTCAAACCCTCAAAAATGAGAAGCAGCTTAGCTAAAATCCCTTACCGCGCCACCACCACTGCTACCTCCTTGTCCGCCGCATTCTCCACCTCATCCTCCAACGGTGGCGGAGGGAGAGGAAGAGGCCACGCCTCGCCGTTTCAGTTCACTGTCGGCAGCAAACCCGAGGATCTCAATCGCGTCAATCCATCTCCTTCTCCGCCTCCGCCGCCGCCGCAAGGCCACGGCCGCGGCAGAGGTCAGCCCTTCCCGTCCTCCCCCGTCCTCCCCCCACTCTCTTCCCTCCTTAACAACGACTCCAGAGCTCCCCCACCCCTCGGCCGCGGCCGCGGTTTCATCCCCTCAAACCCCACCCAACCGCCGCCTCAGCCGCCTCGAGAATCGCTATCCCCGTCGAATCCACCACGACCTAATGCCAGAAACCCTCTCTTGTTCGTACAAGATGAAAAGGGAAAACCCGATCTTTCCGAATCTGGAGCCCAGCCCACGCCCCAGAACACACTACCGAGAGACGCGATGAATATCCTGTCCGGCGCCGGCCGTGGAAAACCCCTTTCTCCGCCGGCAGACCTGCCGGAAAAGCCTGAAATTGAGAACCGGCACGTCCGGTACCGTCCAGGGCCCAAATCACGTGCGGTCGCATCTGACAAGAGCTTTCCAGGTGAGAAATTGAGCCAGGAGGAGAAGGTGAAAAGAGCAAAGGAGATCTTATCGAGGGGTGAAACTGGGGAATCCAGGAGAGTTGGCAGAGGTGAACGTGATGGCACTGGAAGAGGGAGAGGGAGAGATAGAGGGAGAGGTAGGTATAGTGACGAGAGAGAAAGTGATGAAGATAGGTTCGACGAAGCTGATGATGGGTCTACCGGGCAGTATTTTGGTGATCCTGAGGATGAGAAAAAGTTGATTCAGAAGTTTGGGCCGGAGATTATGAATGAAATAGCAGATGGACTCGACGAGATGTCGTGCAGGGTTTTGCCATCACCGGAGGACGATGATCTCGTCGATGCTTATCACACTAACATGCTGGTATTTGGTTTATGCAGTTTGTATTTGTTGGGCTGGGTATATGTGATGAGCAGACCTTTTGTGATTTTGTTTGTTTTTTGTTTTGGTTTGCAGATTGAATGTGAACCAGAGTATTTAATGGAAGAATTCGGTACAAACCCTGATATCGACGAGAAGCCTCCGATTCCACTACGTGATGCGCTTGAGAAGATGAAGCCGTTCCTCATGGCATATGAAGGGATTCAAAGTCAAGAAGAGTGGGAGGTGAAGCAGCACCTCTATTTTTTTTCTTTTTATTATTGTTATTATTATTTCATCAGTATTGCGATTTGCTTTATAGGAATGCAGTTTATTGTTTAGTGCAATTCATTAGCATGGGTCACACTTGGTGCTCAGTTACTTGAAGATGTTTCTTATTAGCACTCGCCGAAAATTTTAGTTCCCCCTTTCTTGGTGGTTTTATAGCCAAGTTGTGCATATTTCACTCTTGTTACTTCTGCTTCTAGAAATTTCAGCCTAAAAAGTAAGAATGGCTGTATTGGTTGCTATAAGAAGGTTAAATTGTATATATAGAAGAAGTAGAAGCCTTTATATATATAAAGTGGAATGAAGCTGTGTGAGTTTCCACAATTAGCTCATTTTTAATCTTCCTCTGGCTAGTTTGTGGTTGCTGATTGGCCTGATTTCATTGTGTTGATTTACTGTTCAAACAATGCTTAGTTAATTTATCTTCAATTTTCCAGTGGCAAGTTTAAGGATGCTGATGATGAGTGTTTGCATTTTTTTTATTTTCTGTTTTAATGATTGACATACTACCTTTATCGTCGAATCCAGTACAAAACAGTTTGGCAGTTGGTCTAGTGTTCTTGAATGCTCATAAAAAATGCATGAAGTGTGCGGAGATTTCCTTGTCGTACACGTTTTCCAATTTTTATTGATGGTCACTGAGAATTCTCTCGTGTAATTCAATTCTACTTTTATGATCTGAACACCGAAAGTATTCCACGGTGTTCCATTTATAAATTTACAAACTCGGATGTTCATTTGTTTGAGTAAGCGAGTTTCTCTGTTGCGTTTCGTATTCTTATGTGGTTTTTTGTGATCTTTTATTCATTAAAATATGGTCTTGAACTCTCTGGTTTCCTTTTGATTAACTGAACTAGTCTGTCTGACTTATTGCTTCCCAGGAAATAATTGAAGCAACAATGAAGACAGTCCCTCTTATGAAAAAGATTGTAGATTATTACAGTGGCCCAGATAGAGTAACTGCAAAACAACAACAAGAGGAACTAGAAAGCGTGGCCAAAACTCTCCCAGCTAGTGCTCCTGCTTCGGTGAAGCGTTTTACTGATCGTGCCGTTCTCTCTCTGCAGGTGCTCAGATTTTTTTATCATGCCGTAAAACTGTCATTATTTGCTTATATGTTGGTCATTTGCTTGTGACTGCTGGCGTATTATTGTGGAAGTACATGAAATTTGATAAGCTGTTCCAACTCTGCTTGGGCCTTTCACTGGCTTTATTGACTTGGGAGAAAATTGGTCTACAGTGAATCTCAATATAATGGTATTTAGTAGGCATTTGGTCCAAAATTTGTTTAACATCTACAATAAGCTGAAAGAAAATGAAAAAAATGGGAAGAATGAAAAAGAGAAAAAGAAAAATTCTGCTTTCAGACCTTGTTAGATTTTGATTTTATGGTACTGGCGCCTTTCCGTTTTCATGTGTTATTTTAAGAAATTTTTTTGGTTTGTTCGCTACAATCTTGTTGAAACTGGAGTATGTCGATCAGGATATTGAAGGGGAGATAGATTTGGTGGGATGCCCTAGTGTGGAAACCCACTGGAAAAAATTAATGCACGCTTGGTGTTTCATTTTTAGTAATTTTGAGTGAGCTATCTTATGGTATATTTTGAAACCTTTAAGCTCCCTCCATTCTAAGTAATCATAAGATGTTAAAACATATTGTCCTAAGCAATTGTGTGAAACCCGACTTTTATAAACAGGAATCACTTATAACGTAAGTGGCTCCTTATTACTTAGGCTTTGTAACTAGTAAGTTGTACTTTGAACATTTCTTCCACAACCTCCCATTTTTCGGTGGTTTTGATAACTGGCGAGTTTCTTTTTGTTTCTTCTAAATGCCACTTTTCGGTAACTATGTTAGGTTATAAATTTCCCAATTGTTACCAGAGTTCTTCAGTATCTTGCAACTATTATTATTATTACTATTTTTATTTTTATTTTTAATTTGATCGATTTTACTCATGCAGAGCAACCCGGGTTGGGGTTTTGACAAGAAATGCCAATTCATGGATAAGCTAGTAATGGAGGTTTCCCAGCAATACAAGTAAAGTGGGTCGATGAGTTCTTGCTTAATATGTTCCGCATCGAACGAGCCTTTGTACTTTCAATCATGAAGATCAATCAATCACCAAGATGGTTTTTTTTTTTTTTTTTTGAACAGTTTCTCATTCACTAGTGCCTGTTTTTGTATTTCCCTAACCCTTTTATGGTTGGATTGCATAGCCTTTCTTCTCCTTTAATAAATGAACAAATCCAACTTGCTACTATTCTTTTAGCTGGAGTCACCAAAAGTTCAAGACTTTAAAATACAGTTGTGTCAGCATTTCAGCTCTGATGTATGATAATTAATGTTATTAAGTAATCAGAAAATTTAGTAAGTTTACTTGTTGTATATAGAAAGTTGACTTCATAGCAAAACTGTTATTCACTCACTTTATTTTAGATTTCAGTTGCCCTTAACCCTCAAACTGTTGACACCATCATTTTTTATTTTTATTTTTTTCATTCAAGTTTACAAACAACCCACACACCAATATCGTCACCACAAAAACTCACGGGAAAAACCCATTCCCCTTGGCGGGCCCCACTGCCACCGCAATTGGGCCCAAGAAACCCGCCCAAGAATATGGCCGAGTTGGGGGTACCTACGGTGCTGTTTTACACAACATCTGTTGTGTTTGATTCAATGGTGGGGGATCAAACACAGCAGGTGCTGTGTAAAATAGCACCGTAGGCACCCCCATCCAATATGGCCTCCCTCACGATGGACGCGGCATTTTGGTCAGATAAAAATTTTTGAAAAGAAAAAATCACGTCCTTTATTTTATTTTATTTTTTTGGATACGAACAAGTTATTTTGAAGAAAAATTCAATGAAAGAGCTTCATGAAATACACGATTGTAATATTAGTTACTTATACATACAACACAATTATTTATTTGGAGAGATGCTACAGTCTCATTAAAAAATTATTTCGTCGGAATTCGTAACCGTTAGATCAACTATTCAAGATGATACATGATTTAACGATTACAAACCCCGACGAAATGATTCCATATTTTTCAACATATCTATCACTCGCAAAATTGTCCCTATCAGCCAATTCAATCGATTATCGTGTGTTCACGCCAAACAAGGCCTTATCACTCATCAGTGACTCTTTGACTTCAGCTGATACGGAGTCGTGAGATGAGAGAGACCCGCCATCTTTTTCACACCAAAACCCCTGCAACTACGTAATTGGAGTTTCATTATCTCACGATTTTTCCGTTTATTCCATTAGTTCTCTTCGTTCCCCAAATCTATAAATGTTTTCGTCTGCTTAGCACCATTACATTTTTTTGGCAAAGTTTCAGTAATTCGAGAAAAAAAAAAAAAGAGAACGATGAACTCAAATGCAGCGTCGTCCGTCACCGGAGTTCTTGGATCGGCCGATTCAACCGCTGCCAGAAGGAATTCCAAGCGACCCAAGTGTAAATTTTTTATTTTTGTACTGAAATCTGATTGTATGGGTTTCGCCATTTTTTTTTTTTT